TTACCCACTGAAAAATTCTGAGAATCCAAATGACTGTGTGTATTTTCTTTTAATCCTCTAAGGACATGTAAATTGAATTGGCTCAGCAGTTTAGAGAATTTATTGCAAAATCACATTTGTTGCAGAGAAAGCATATGAAGACTTTCTGAGCCTTCTAATTTTTTAAATTGTTTCCCCATTGTAGTTTCTGGGTAAGGATTCGGGGACTCACAGGCCCTGTGACTGTGAAAGTGCTGCTTTGCTGGTGTGGTGATCATACCAGGATGGAGTTCTCTGGTTCTGAGAGGACATGCAGTGTCACATCCACATTAGTGACCAGCAGGTTGCATGGGTTAGTGGTGGGTATATCCGGCTGGAATCTGAAGACCATGCCCAGTTCCATTTTCTCTCTGACTCAGGGTGACTTGTTCCTCTTGTGACTCACTTGCTCTGGCCGCCCTTGATATCACTTTACCTTTATCACCACCACCATCATCATCGTGTCTTCTGTGTCATGGGGTTTGTGGGTAAGTGCTTGGGCCGGGAAGACAGACTGGGGAGTTCCATGAAGGACATTTCCCAGTTCTACTTTGCTCACCTTGGGCAACTAGCCTCAGTCCTCTACATCCTCAGTTTCTCAGTCCTCTACACCCTCAGTTTCTCAGTCCTCTACACCCTCAGTTTCTCAGTACTCTACATCCTCAGTTTCTTAGTACTCTATATCCTCAGTTTCTTAGTCCTCTACATCCTTAGTTTTACAGTCCTCTACATCCTCAGTTTCTCAGTCCTCTACATCCTCAGTTTCTCAGTCCTCTACATCCTCAGTTTCTCAGTACTCTACATCCTCAGTTTCTTAGTCCTCTACATCCTCAGTTTCTCAGTCCTCTACATCCTCAGTTTCTTAGTACTCTACATCCTCAGTTTCTTAGTACTCTACATCCTCAGTCTCTCAGTCCTCTATATCCTCAGTTTTACAGTCCTCTACATCCTCAGTTTGTCAGTTGCACTGGGAACAACTGGGGTGGTATGAGGACAGAATCAGACAATGCCTATAGAGTGCTTAAAATTACTGCGTCTGTGGGGATTGTTCCTCATGACTCACAGAAGACTCTGATAAGATAAACACATGCCATTTCTATTCTCTAGAAACATGTGTGTAAAGGTAAATACTCATTGGCATAGCTGTTTACCACGTCTTCATGTGCCGTAGTCAGTAGAAGCTAGAACATGCCTGCCTCAGAGTCACTTGTGCCACAGGGTTCAGACAGTCCTCTGTGGCTGGGTTTTGAAGGACTGTGGCCAACTTGGAGAGATGGACTTCAACCTTGCCTGTGTTGTTGAGAAGGTACACTTTTTCTGCCCTGTGAGCCATAAGTCAGGCCTCATCTGGTGACCTCTGTTCCCTTGAGTTGAGCTGGGCTCTCCCCTGTGAAGATAGAGTTCTTAAGAGGCATGTCTGAAAGCACATGCATCCTCTATAACTGCTGGTCACAAGACAAAAGCCACAGGTAAAGAGATCTCTTATCTCAGGGCATTGTTCTGACCTCCTAGCCCCAGTATGATGTTAGTGGGCCTCCATGAGACAGATGGAAGAAGGATGGGCCAAGCATTTAAAATAGTGCAGTGCAGGTCCTTTCTTCTACTAGTACATGAACCACAGTGCTGACCCCTGGAAAGGCATGGTACTTGCGTACATTTGCTCTTAGCTGGATTGGGAAAGGGGACTGAAATATCCTTATAGAGGACCTAAGTAGCTTTGTGGCCTTGGACACACTATAAGCCTCAGGTTCCATACCTGTACAATGATAGTGACACTAAAACTAATCCGTTTGATGTTTCAAGAATTGGATGCTGTCATGTTTGGCACTTGGTAAGTGCTTGGGATGCAAAGTCATTCTATAGTGCTCTTCCCAAGCCTCTACCTGGTCCCTATCATGGCGGTTGCTGCCTGCCCTGGCCTACCTTGTTGGGTGATGTGATCATATAGTCCTGGCAGGATTAGTTTGTTAGCTTTATTTCAAAACTCATTGTCTTTGGCTCATTTACCCAGACCAGACAGAGATTAATGGCTTGGTCTTGGAGGATTGGAAAGCACATGCTTCTGGCATCTTTGGCTCATTGATCACACCTCTCCAGCTCAAAGAGCACTTGGGTGTTCCAGGCAGGGGTCTCCTGAGACTCAGGAAACCTGGAAAGAAAGTAATTTGGCATGGATTTGCCTATTAATTAAGGAGCCCTGAAAGCCCCGTGTTTCACTATTCCTTCTGGATTTTGCCATTTACAATCTTAACAAGTTTCTCTTGGATAGAATGTTTGGATTGAATGGGAGAAATACAGTGATCAAGGGGAGCTGGAAGGAAAAGCAAACACATTTTCCAAAATGCTGTCTCCTCCCGTGTTGCCCTTCATCTGCTTTCCAAGGTTATCGAATGTTGTCGGGATGGGTTGCTGATTCTGGATTTACCTGTATGTCACTCCCTGAACAAGGCCCTGGTAGGGACCTGGCTGTACCTCATAACCTTGTCCTTATTTCTCATGCTTCTCTGCCCTTCAGTAATTGCCAACCACACTGACCTTCCTCCTCCATCAGGTAGGACCTGCTGGATATGAGTACCTAGACCTTACTAACAAGCTCCTCTTTTATCATTTAAATTCATGGAAATATTTTCTCTTCAGGAGAGTGTTCCCCCATACCAGACCCACACTGCCCTGTTTTCTTATCTCTATGGTACTTGTCAATATTTAAAGGAATCTTATTTATAAGTCTGTTTTCTTCAGTGGTAGGAAAGTTCCATGTGAGCAGAGCTCATTGCTGTACCTAAGTCACTGCCTGGCTATTGGAGGTACTTAATAAACACTTGTTAACCCACGCGAAGGAATTGCAGAGCAGTGGAAAAGTCTCAAAGCCAGCATCCCTTGTTTGATAGCCACATGAATAAAACCCATGGGAGCCAAAGGACATGGCATTTGTCTACCTGGAGTCCCTGCTGCCCCCCAAGTCCCTTTGTCCCCTTTGTGCGGTGCCATGGAGAGAGATCCATTAGCCAATGCGGGTCCAGTCCAGGCACTTCCTTTATCTCAGTGATGGACTGCTGCTCGGAGAACCACTTGCAGCTCTAGTTTCTGATAGCACTCAGCACAGCCTCGGTGGGGTGGTGGCCTTCACCTAGACTTTGTGGATGTTTCTCCCCCAAATCCTGTGAAGGCTGAGCCATTCTTGTTGCAGAAACAGGCCAAAGCAACCTCATTTTTCTTGTGCTGTTTCAGTCTATTCCTCTTGACACAGTCTCACTGGACACTCCCAGCAGCCTGTGGAGGAGTGTGTCAAACAGCTATCTATTATCACCCCATTTCTGAGAGGAAGAAGTGAGAGTCCAGCCTAATGAAGCGACTGGTGGTGAAGTCCAGGCCCAAAGCCGTCTTTTGATGCCTTCCTTGTCCCTGGGACTTTTCAGTGTGTGCACTGATGGTGATTCAGGTATCGGAGCATCCTTTGTAAGGTCTGAGGTTCCTTTTATGCTCGTCCTCTGATCTTTGTTAAGTGGCTGTGTGGCTTTAGTCTTCTGTAGAGAATAAATCTAAAAATATATGTGATAAATGTAATAACAAAGCAGGGTGATTTCTTGGATTTGGGGTTTGATAATCCCAAGACATTCTTGGGCAACTCCTTTATATAGAGCCATAAAGGCCCAAAGAAAGTAAGGCCAACTCTGTCCAAGTTGAACCTGTTGCCCCACTCTTGACTAGCCATTCCCATCTACATTTCTTAGTGGAAAACTCATTTTGGGGGACGTTTGATGCTAAGTTTTCAGAAATGCTTGGCTTAGTTAGTTCTTTTAGGGGCTAAATAAACATTTCCCAGCTGACAGTCCATCAGAACACCTGGGGATTGTTGAATAGGTAAGTAGATATTTAAGTTATGATGGCCAGCTTAATCCCATGCCTTTCCATACCTACAGAGGAGGATTTGGTAGTTTCCTTTTTCCGAGCAGAGATTTCACTGTATTTCTCCTAATAGCAACAGCACTTCAGGAGTGGGCCGTCTGGCCAGTAACCAAAGCCAGCCTATCCTTTGCTTCTGTGTGGACCGTGGGTCATGTGTGGTATTTATAGAATAGTTTTTGCAATTGACAAGTGATAGAGGCCTGTCACTGGATCCCAGGGAAGTGGAGTGCCAGCCTCCCTTTGCAGCACAGGCAAAGAATATTGGTTCTGCTAATTAGACTTTTTACCCCCTAAAAGTTATATTTTTAATTTTGTGAAAACTTGTTTCCTCACCTGATATTTAAGTACCAACATAATAATGATTTTGGCCTCTTGGCACTCAAAGCCTAAACTGTTCATTGTCTTGACCTTTGCAGAATAACTTGCAGCATGTCATTGTCTGCTTTATAGTGAGAAAGTCTTCCTTTTCCTAATCATACCACTTTCCCTTTGATGATTTCTATCAACTGTTAAAGGATTGGGTTGTAAATGTGATATATTCTCAGGATAACATTCACACCTACATATAGTAAAGGGGGTACTGGTCTCATCCCCAGGGTCAGCACTCAACAGTTTGTAATGTTTCTTTGCCCATGCTTCGCCTTTAACTAGCTGTGAAACCTCATTCCACCTTGGTAAGCCTCACATTTTCCACCTGTACAGCAGTGGTAGCAACTGCTCTTGCCAAGCATAGTTTCTATGCAGATGGGGATAGTTCCTGTGAGATGCTTAGGACATTGTCTGGTGTGCAGTTAGTACTTAATGGTTTGCAACTAACTTTAGACTCTCTTATTTTACTTTATTGTTTGCCATTTAAAAAAGATAACTGCCCCCCCCACACACACACCATAGTCCCACAGGTGGTTCTGACCCATACTTATTTGAGAAAAGCTAAGTGCATGCTGGGAAGTAAGAGCTTAGTTACGGGTGTTCCCGTGAGGGGAGCAGAAATTGCCTTCCATCTTGGGGTTTTCTACAATGAATTGGTAGGCTGGTATAAAATGCACACAAAGTAAATTCCTATTTCTATTTTCCAGGTCTACAACTCAAACAAAGACAGCCAGAATGAAGGGAGTAAGTATGATGTCTGGGTCATTTTCTATATTCAGAGTGGGGGGTGGGAGGGGAGGCTTTAAGAATTGTCACTTCAGGGCTGAGCCACCAGGAGGTGCCCTGGGCATGCTGGGTCAGCCTCACTTCAGAGGATTATTTTTTGAGGAAGATTGGCAAGATTGTAGTGACCTCTTGCATTTAAACAAACCTTCGTGCTTTTCATGGTACTCTTATACTCATGATCTCACATGGTCCCAGGTCTTAATAAGATGGTAGCCCCAGTCACCATTTATAAGTTGCTCAATATTCAACAAACCAAGAGTCCAATGCTGCCCGAATGCCTCAGGGAATGTCTGGGAGCCCTGGAATGGCAATAGCAAAGGTGGATGATGGCTTGCTACTTCTGTTTCCTTTGTGGCTCTTGGAGAGGGAAGATTGGAGAGGGGAGAGGATAGTGGCTAGCCTCTTTCCCTGCTGCAGGCCAGCACTGGGCTTCATCACCTCTTCTAAGGTCACCTCTAACTGCACAGGCAGTGAGATTGAAAGGAAACCTCTGCTGGGCAAGTGCTCCAACCTGATTATCACCTTGGTGCATAAGACATAAAGCACATTCCTTCCAGGGTGCCACAAGAGTACAAAGGAAACCCCGACTCTGGCTTTGCTCTAGAAAATCCACTTGACAAAATCAAGAGGTGGCCCTGCCAGGCACTGCAGTAGTGTCAGGAGATCAGTGGAGCAGAGCAGCACTTCAGACAGAAGGGTGAACCTTTCCACTTTTATTGATTGAAAGCCATTAGCCATTATGAAACACATTCTTCTCTTTTATTCTTTCTGAAATAAAGACTTTGCCAAAAGATTAAAACAACAACAAGCAAACAACAGGGTCTCTAGCCCAGGCTGGCCTCAAATACCCAGCCAAGGATGAACTTCTCACCTTTCTGCCTCCCTCCTGAATGATGGGATAACAGGTGTCCACAGTGACAGCCGCCTTATGCAGTGCTGGGGTTTGAACCCAGTACTTTGTAGATGAGAAACAAGCACACTACCAACTGAGCTATATCTCCAGCCCTTGCCAGAAGATACAGATAAAATATTAAGTGACTTATAATGGCCACAGTTGACAAAGTTTTTATGACAGGAAAACTGAGTTCTGTGTTGCTTTGTTTTCTCTTCAAAAGCTGAATAAAGAAAAAACTTGGAAGTAAATATTCAAGAAAACAAAATAGTAACCCCCCCCCCCCCGCCCCAATTTAAGTAGATCGGAGGTTAACTGGGGTAGAAGTAAGGAGCAAAACTCATAGTTTAACAGTGAAGAAGCATAAAAGGCGGTAGTGTAATTTAGTGATGGAGCATATGAAGGCACAGGCTGGCAGGCACACCAGCTCCAGGGATGCAGGGATGCCAACAAAGAAGGGTCTTCTGGATGCTGCTCCTAGGATACCAAGTTGTCCTTGCCTCACTCTCCTGAAGAGTCAGATTCCCAGGAAAGATACCATCCAGTGAGTATAGCTTGGGCCCCCAGAGGGAAAGAAACACATTTTGATAGAAAATTTCTAGAATATTGTAAGAAATGGATGCAGGAAAGCTTCTCAGGATAAAATTAGGGAAGCCACCAGGATAGGAAATATGGACACTCAGAAGGCTGAATGAACAGCTTCCCACACTTGGCCCCAGGCAGGGACATAGTGCTTCTTAGTAAAGATGCCAAGAGACCCCAAGAGCTGTGGAGATGCAGTACACACAGAGTTCTCTGTCACAGGCTCCCCTGTTGATCTTATGATCCTGTTCCCTGTTTAAGTGTTAACAACATTCTGTTTGAAATGATCTTATTGGTGGGTATGCTTGTCAGTCCTGCTGGTCCGCAAGCATTTTGGGAGTATGCGTGGAACCCTTCAGTAAGTGGCTATCTTTTGATTCAACAGTATTTTCTTTTTTTATTATTACTTTTTAAAATTACTTTTTTTCACAGCCCAGTGTCAGTTTCTCCTCTCTTCCTCTTCTCCTCCCTGTTCCTCCCCAGCCTCCCCTCTTCCCCGCTCTCATCCATTCCTTCTCCTTTCTCTTGAGAAAAGGGCAGGCCTCCCATGTATATCAGCCATCCTTGGCATACCAAGTCGCAGTGTGACTAGGCACCTCCTTTCCTATTAAGGCTGGCTGAGGCAACCCTGTAAGAAGAAAGGGTACTAAAAGCAGGTAACAGAGTCAGAGACAGCTCCTGCTCCTTCTGTTAGAAGTCCCACAAGAAGACTAAGCTACACAACTATCACATATGTGCAAGTTCTCTGGTTGGTGGTTCAGTCTCTGTGAGCCCCTATGAGTCCAGGTTAGTTGATTCTGCCGGTTTTCTTGTAGTGTCCTTGGTTCCTCTGGCTCTCATAATCCTTCCTCTGCCTCTTCCACTGGATTTCCAGAGGTCTGCCTAAAGTTTGGCTGTGGGTCTCTGCATCTGTTTCCATCAATTGCTGGGTGAAGCCTCTCTGATGCCAGCTGGGCTAGGCAATGATCTACAAGTAGAGCAGAATATCATTAGGAGTCATATTATTGACTTTCTTCTCTTTTTTGCCAGCCATGTTTGGTTCTATCCTTGGTCTCTGGGCTGTTCAGCCTCTGGGTCCTGGCCCTGCAAGCAGTGTCCAGGGTGACACTGTTTCCTCTCGCAGCATGGGTTTCAAGCTAGACCAGTCATTGGTTGGCCACCCCCATCATTTCTTGGAAGCCTTCAAAAAGTGGCTATCCTTTGACTCAACAGCATTTTCTAAAGTACAAAAATGTTTAAAATGCAACCAAGAAGTTCAAGAGCCTGAGTATCAAATGGAGCAATCGCAGAGTAGTATGCAGTTTTAGTAAGAACAGGGCGACATGGTGGATGGTTTCAGCTGTCAGAATGTGTAGAGTCACCCCGGCAGGCAGGAAGCCCTTCTAAAGAAATGTCTAGGTTAGCTTAGCCTGTGAGAGAGTTTAACCGGAGTAATCAGGATTGGGAAGATTAGCTCTGAATGTGGCAGTACCATTTTGTGGGCTTGGCCTTGCACTGAATGAGAAGAAAAGGAGCTGAGAATACATGAATGTGCTAATTCCTTCAATGGAATGTGACTAGCTACTTCAAGTTTATGGTGCCTTGACTTTCCCACAATGCTAAACTATGACCCAAAATTATGAGTCAAATAAAACTTCGTCCCTTAAGTTGCTTTTATCTCAGGGTATTTTATCACAGCAACAGGGTGGGAAACTGAGATGGGGGGAGGTGCACTGTGGCGAGGGCTCAGCAGTCAAAGCACTTGCATAGGCAAGAGGACTAGAGTTGAGATCCTTGGAGCCCACAGACATGTCGGTGAGCATGGCAGCCCATTTGTGGTTCCAGCCCTGGAAGGGGGAAACAAGGGATCCCTGAGCAAGCTGGCTAGTGAGACTAGGTTAGTTGGAAATCTCTAGATTTGATGAATAGACCCTGACTCAAAGGATAAGGTAGAAGAATGATCCAGAAAGATTCCCAGTAACGACCTTGTACTTCTACATGCATATACAAATATATGTGGTCCCACACAGGCAACTACACACACATGTAAACACACCACACACACAAACATGTGAAAAGAAGGACAAACGGGAACACGGGAGCTCTTAGTGTATTTGTTGCCTGCAGTAGATCATTAATTGAATTTTTAATGGAAGTGGGCAGTGGAACAAAATAAAAGAAGTTATAGAACTCATCTAGGTGTTTGACAGGAAAATGTCTTGAGCTACATTGATGATCAAATACTAAATCAAGATGGAGAATGGCTTACTGGGGGATGGCCAGTTTCTAGTGTGTTTCTATGCAAGGTACGTTGTCTACCATTAAAGTCATTTTATAGCAATAGCTGTTAAGTAACCACTTAATATGTGTCAGGTACTAGAGATTTATTAGATTAAGTTTATTGGGAATTTATTTCCTTCCTTCCTTCTTTCTTTCCTTCCTTCTTCAAGCTTCCTTCCTTCCTCCCTCTCTTCCTTCCAACTTCCTTCCTTTTTTCCTTCCTTCCTCCTTCAAACTTCCTTCCTTCCTTCCCTGTCTCTCTCTGTCTCTCTCTCTCTCTTTCTCTCTTTGTTTGCTTGCTTGTGTGTTTTTCAGGACAGGGTTTCTCTGTGTAGTCCTGGCTGTCCTAGAACTCTCTCTATTGACAAAATTGGTCTCAAACTCAGAGATCCACCTGTCTCTGCCTCCCAAGTTCTAGGACTAAAGGCATGCACCACTACACCAGGCTTTGTTGGAAATTTTTGATTTAACTTGTAGATGAAGAAATTGAGGCTAATAAGCTCAGAGGATACAATTTAGGCTATATTTCCCCCAACTCCCATGGTTGTACCCTGAACACAAGGCAAGGGTATTTCCTTTTCTTGAGCAAAGAACGATGCAAAGAGTCCCATATGAAAAATACAGACTCTGCTAGAACATTTGATTCTGCCTCTTGTTCTTCCCAGACAGGAGATACACTTGTGTTAGTTGTGGAATACCCTTGTATTTAGCAAGGAGGAGAGATAATGACTGAGTGGAAAAATAGTGGCCACTTTTTCAAGACTGCTTTACTACTCACTGACTTCCAGACTGACCACAGATTATTCCTCTGGGTTGGTGTTGCCGTCCTTTCTTGGTATTAATATATCCCTTTCCATATCATGCCATTATTTTTTACCTCCCTCCTATTTGGGAATTGAACCTGGGCCTTGGGCATGCAAGGCAGATCGTACCACTTGTCTCAGCCCACACCTTGAAGCTATTGTTTCTTTTCATCTTCACTGGGCTTATCTGTCATGGGAAGCACTGTTGCTAAAGATCTTGATCTACCCTTTTTTAAATGTCCCAGTTTAAGCACTCTTAAAGGTAATGAGTCAATCTGATAGGAATTTAAGAGTCAACTGTTGCTTTTCTTGCCAAATTCTAAATGTTAGCATGTAAATACAAGTTATGTAGTGTTTTGTTTTCTCAAATGTTTTGGTGGGAGTTTGAATACAAACCTCTTATCAGAGAGCCAGCATGTTCT